TTGTAACTTAGCTTCCATGATAACTCTCAATGATGGAATTTCTACTTCAACAGGGAGAACAGCTTCCATACCATAAACTAATGAAAATGGCATTGCCCCAGTTGAAGTACGGACTGAGGTGCGATAACCATGTAAGGCAAACAGAAGCATTTCATGTCAGTCTCTGTAAGTTACAGTCATCTTTTCAATTATTCTTTTTATGTTTTTGTTGGCGGCTTCCACTACATTATTCATCTTAGGTCGATAAGGGGTTGAGTTGAGATGCTTGATCTTAAACACAACAGGATGCAAAATGATTCACACAACAGGAAGGAATAGACTATGATGAGACTTTCTCGCTTGTTGTGAGGTTTACATCTATAATACTCATTCTAGCCATAGTCGCCAGGTTTAGATTTGGAATTACATCAAATGGGTGTAAAAACAACATTTCTGAATGGTGAATTAGAAGGAGAAATTTACATGCAGCAAACCATCAGTTTTGTTACCAAAAGACAAGAAGATAAAATATGTAAATTAATGAGGTCAATTTATCGCCTTAAACAATCTTCGAGATATTGGTACATCAAATTTCACCAAGTAATCATCTCATCTGATTTTCATATGATCGATAAGGACCACTATGTGTATGTTAAAACAAACAAAGATAAGTTTGTGATTCTTTCACTATATGTGGATGACATATTGTTGGCTGGAAAAGATAAGGACTATGTGTTAGCCATTAAGGAATGGTTATTCTCAAACTTTCAAATGAAAAATAGGGTGAGGAGACTTATATACTTAGAGTTAAGATTGAAAGAGATCGCTCCAAAAGGATGTTAGCCATGTCACAAGGCCAATACATCCAGAAATTTCTTGAAAGGTTTAATATGCAAGACTGCAAACTCATTGATACTCTTATCGCCAAAGGCGAAAATTTGAGTCAAAGAATGTGTCCTACGACTCCTGAGGAAATAGAGCTCATGAGAAAAGTTCCTTACCAGAGTGCTATTGGAAGCTTCATGTATGTTATGATATGTACGAGACCAGATATCTGGTTTGTCATTGGAATGATAAGTAGATACCAGTCAAACCTTGGCCAACCCCATTGGAAGACTGTTAAGAGAATACTTCGATATCTCAAAGGCACTATGAATTATTCGCTGTGATATCAGGGAAACAATTCAGAATTAGAAAGCTACTCGAACGGTGATTAGGGAGGAGATATGGATGAAAGAAAATCCACCTCGGGATATGTCTTCTAACTCAATAATGGAGCAATATCTTGGAGTAGCAAGAAACAAACTTGTATAGCCTTGTCTACAATGGAAGCTGAATTTGTTGCACTTTCAGTGGCGGTACAAGAAGCAGTATGGCTTAAGAGATTTTTAAGTCATTTGAGATTTAAAGAAAGTGCACCTGACTCACTATTAGTAAACTGTGATAGTCGGGCTGCTATAACTTTCACGAAGAATCTCAAATATCACTCTAAGATAAAACACACAGATATCAAATACAATTTTGTTAGAAATATGATTGCACAAAAGGAAGTAAATGTGCAATATATATCAACGAGCAACATGGTTGCGAACCACTTTACTAAACCTATTCCTAGAGATGTATTTAATAGCCACATTAAATCTTTAGAATTGCGAAGGCTTTAAGTTTGTATTTCTGAACAAATTGTATTGTGTATTTTAAACTATGAAATAAAGTTTTGTACTTTATTATGCAAACACAAAAAATGTTTAGTACATCTAATGAGAAGTATGTCAGACAGTAGATTGGCTTTCTCACACGAGCAATCGCTTCTATGACTTGCGTGTCAATTAGAAATGAGATAATTTTAAGCAATTTTATTGTTGTAGTAGTACAATGAAATATGAGAGTAAGTGCTAGCTTAAAATGAGATATCATCTTGATATGTGATCAAGATGAGATCATATAATGATCGAAGGTGACAAATCTCATTATTCTCGTTAAACTATATTTGAATGTAAGATAGAAATCCTGTTATCATTAGTTGATAAATTATTAAGGTAGATCAGTTGTGGACTCAAGTTAAATATTAAGTATATCTGAACTATCATTTATACAGTATTTAGTTGAGACATACACTCTAACGAGATAGAGTAAAATATTGTACTACGTGTGCACAATTTGACCACCAAAGGTAGCTGAAGTTAATTGATCTACTTCTTCGTTGTGTGAGACCTGTGAGATTAACAAATCTCCACAAGTACCCTTATGACCTTTTGGATAAAATTTGGAAGTTCTATTGCAATGTTAGCATTTTTAGGGAGGTTGCCAATGGTCATGAATTATTTGATCTAATGGGACCTACCTAGAAAGCAGTTGTTTAGGAATGGAAATCTTTTAGGAAAGAGAAGATCATTTCGAGTGTCATATTATAGTGTATTCACAAGTCGACCAATTATATTTTTGTAATATAATTGTGAATACACACATATACGAAATTAATATTTCGAAAGAGATCATGAGTTGTGATAAATATGACTAAAAGACTCTAGGGCACTTTATACCAACTCTACTCACTTATTCAAGTTACTTTACATACTTAACCGTTCTAAAGTGACTCACTTTCGAAATTAAAGTATGACGGTCACACAATCTATTTTTCTTGTATAATTCTGATATTAGTGAACTAAAATGTGTTTCATGTTTTTGAGACATTAAAAGAGTCCCATAAGAAGATGAGACATAGTCTTTTTTTGGTTCGCCCATAATGAAAGTACATTATGTGCGAGTGGGAGATGTAGGATTTATTAAAATACAAATCAAATTCAAATTTCCCCTAAAACCTCTCCTCTCTCTCTCTAACTTTATCTATGTGAGTGTGGGATACGAGGTGTGTCTTATTCCTGGAGAAAACAGAGAGAAAGAATTCTGGTAGACGGAATTTCTACCCGTGAAACACAGAGACATTAAGGTTCGCAAATTCTTCACCACTTGAAGAATTCAGGTTGTGAAACGTGACTTTTTCCGTTCATGATTGATCTCTGATAGCTACTTGGTTTTCGTGGATTCCGCTGACACTACAAATGTTAGTATCCAATCCCACGAAAAACTCAACATATAAACATAATTCATTAGCAAGATGTATTTATATATTCAAAATTTTGTTTGTTGAAGAATTTTTTAGACAATATTAACAATCTAGTATTTTTTAAATAAAAATGACATTAGTTCTTTTTTTAACAATTTAAATAGGAACGAAGGCAAAGGATGTTGCTCTTTTTCTTTTTCAGGATAAATGGGTGCCCTATGTATGCGGGAGCTTAAAAAAAGCAGTCCAACATAATATAGAGAATTTATAATTTTTCTATTAGAAATACAAAAATTTAAAGGAGTAAAAACAATTATAGTCGTTTAATATAAGTCATTTGAAAAAATGCCAAACACTTTCAATTTAGAGGAATGGCAAACTTAAAAATGAGAAGATCTCTACTATGTACTTTTAATAATAGAATAATTCAAATATTTTACCAACCAATTTTTAGGAGAATTATAATAACAAAATTAAGGAAAATAATATTAGTTAAATTAAAATCTAAACAAAAAATTTATTATCGAAAATTATACTCAAAATACAAGATTTAAACAATAACATCATTATTGAAAATGACTAAGATAGAAGTTGAATGGAACAAAGACATGAATGAATTGAACATATAAGGTGTATTTTTGTAACACAATTAATACAAAAATATAATAAAAATACTCACCTTAAATCAATAGAAACTCAAGTCTATATTGTTGGTCTTTCTCTCATTTATCCTCCGCCACCCGTCGCCCCACCTACAACCAGCTTTGTCACCCCGCTTGATTTTTACCTCCTTTGCGTTACCCTCATTCCTTCAATCTTGAACGACTCGATTCCAATTGCACTGTCTGACGGTGCCTTCTTAGATTTTGTCACCAAAACTATCTCCCCCTCAATTTCAGTCTCCTATTCCCACGTGGTGCGCTGTCTCTTCTATGAGTTACTTATATATATATAGAGGTGAGATACATGATTACTAGAATCTAGGTGAGAACAAATATAGTCATATAAAATAAGCAATTTCAAAAAATGGACATCAACTTTCAGTTTCGAAGAATGACCAATGTAAAAATTGTAAGATAGTCTATTAATTCTTTAGGTATGAAATTATCCTCTCATGATTTTAAAAATGAATCTATTATTTTTCTTCTATGGGAGAATGCTACCTATATTTTTTTCCTAATAATTCAAATATTTTGACAATCTTACTATATTTTTTAATTAAAATATTTTTCCAACCAATTTTCCGGAGAATCATACTAATAAGGAAAAATACTATTTAAATTAAAATCTAAAACAAAATTTAAACAAAAAAAATTAATTATTGAAAATTATACTAAAAATACAAGATTTAAACAATAAAATAATTATTGAAAATGACCCAAGATGGAAACAAATACAGTAAACATGTTAGATTCCATCGTCAAAATTGTCTCCCCCTCAATTTCAGTCTCTTTTCTCCACTTTCGACTTTGATCGTATCTCACTTAGTGCGTTATATATATTTTTATATATATATATATATATAAGTAACATAGATGATTACTAGACGAAAAAATTGAAGTGACAAAAATAATGAGAGATAGTAACCAAAAACAAATTTGAGAATTTAAGAGAGTACTATTTTGATTTTGAAAATAATAACGAAATAAAAATGGTAAGAGGATAAAAATCAAATCTTTAAAACAGTTAGAAAAATACAAATAGATATTTTTTTATTAACAAATATCATTTTCAAAACTGAGTGACAGGGACACCAACCATAAATTCTCAAATTTAAAACCCACAAATAAGGATTTGGCCCTTTTCTTGGTTGAATATGTCCATTTGACTATAATTTAAATATTAGAATTTGGTAGGAAATTCTCAATGAACAAATGGGTTGGATAAATTTAATTCATTTATATAGATTCTAACATAAATAAAGAAAAGAGGGGAGAGACACACAAAGGGAAAATGAAGAATAAACAGCCCTCTACAGAGGCCAATCAAATATGAACCAAATATTCTTTCTGGTGACTGATGAGGTGATAAAAAAACTCAGCTTACTTGCTAATTGAACAAAGGCACAATATTTTCTACAAAAGGAACACAAAAAGAATTATTACTCAACCGTCTGGCTTTCCTATCTTTCTAATAAACAATCTCCAATCCTTCTTCATATCACTCTGATAATCGCAAAATAACAAATTGTCGTCGTCATCGTCGGGGTGATTCCATACCCTTGCTTCTCCATACAATTTCAATCATCTATACCTCCGTTTGGCTTCTCCATACGCGACAACTCCGAGAACTGTTATTGTGTAACCACCAATTCCGATGACTGTGACGGGATTTCTAAACAGAAGAATGGAGATGACAACGGCTACCGCTCCTTTTGCATTGCCCAAGACCTGGTAAAAACAGATTTTTGGAACAGATGATTATGAGAATGAAACTACTGTCAAACTTCACAAAAACTTCTCAACAGATCATAGCAGCATTTAAAACCATCACCCATGGAAAGTTTCTCATCCAAACTGACTAATGGCTTTGGAGTTGGAATGACTAGTTTTACATGCTATCTATCAAGTGTCGAGGAATGTGATGTAGCTGGAGCTGGATGTTCATTAAATTTTCAATGATAATTTTATTTTAAATCGTTTATGTTCTCCAGGTTTTTTAAGAAGGTTTACTAGAAAGATAAGAAAATATAAGAATATAGTTTTTTTTTTATTATTCTTTTCAACAATTACATGCAGTATACACTTTTAAGATTAAATTCTCCTTTTTCTTTTTAACTAAAATTAGTTATAGATGATTGAACCATAGCTTATTTATAAAAATTACATGCAGTATAATTGTTTTCAAGTTTAACTAAGATTTCAAGAGTGTTTCAAAAAAGCAGAAAATTAAATAAATAAAATAAGGTATAAGCAGATTTCACAAGCATAGTTTTTTTAGAAGTAAAAATCCAGAAACAAAAATCACCACCAAACGGAACCTTAAGGTGAGAAAAATTTTTAATTTAGAATAAAGAACACATTCAATAATTTACTAAAATGAGTGCATCGTTTGTTCTTAATATAAACAAAGTAGTATCAAGCAAGCTTTCTTCCTTTCCAACACTGCAAAAGTTTTCAGTGATTAGAAATTTTCAGGCTATTAAAACTATGATGAAGTGTTTAACGTTACAATATCTGGTATCATAAAATCCATAAGATGTTCATTGTGCTTATTTTTCTACACTATAAGGGGAAAGCAGGATCGCCTACTCTTTATTTGGAAGGCCACTTTGAAAATAAACATTAGATTTCCAACTCCTCTAGATTGGTGATCGCGATTTATTCTTGCCCAGGGCTTTGGGCCACTCTTGAGAAAGTAGATCTCATAGAGTACAGTATATCTAGTGCCAATTTCTCCGTTATTATAAATAGGAAACTTAAAAGGCAAAATTCAAGCTCTTAGCGGTATCCAATAATGGGATCCTTACCTCAATGGTCCTCTATTGACGATAAAGGGCTTTAAAAGGGCATGGATGACATCATTCTCTTATCCTCTCTTTGACAAGCAGTGCATAAACATGATAGGAATGGTCCTCGAGAGGGTAATTAGATTATTAATAGAATAGTAAGGGTATGTTAGTAATTAGATAAAAAAATTTTAGGGAGAGTTGTTATAAATAGAGTGAAGGAAAAGGATGAAGGTAGGCAATTAGTGAGTGTGGTTTGGCCTTGAGTGATCTCAAGAGGAGAAGGTCCAAATATCTCGAATGACTTGGGGATTATTGTAATCATTTCCATTTATCTTTCCATCTATTTTAGCTATTTGGATTCTATCCTAACATTTTTATCAACATTATCACCATCTTTGGGAGAACTGTTCCAAAATCAATTAAGTAAAATCAGAAGAATTGGGTATCAATTGTGTGGACACACACATCGGGTAACCCGCTTTAACCCATTTTGTGGAAGAAGTATTGCAATCTCCTTCCTTGACCCATTCACCTTGGCTTTTTGTCTCCAATTCATCCCTTCTCTCCTAATGAGTATTTCAAAGTCCCCTTTGAGAGTGTGACCTTTCCTCCCTATTCCTCCTCTCTTAAAGTTTCCCAAAGTCTCTCACTCATCTAAGGCTTCGATCCGAGGAATAATTTCCAGTTTTCGAGTTCTGAGGTCCCCAAACATCCTCCTAGTCTACTTTCAACTTGGGTTTGAGGGACTTAACCACCCATCTCTCAAAGAAGATTCATAGGGTGGGTGCACTTCAGTAATTTTTTTTTTTTTCCTTTAAAACAAAGCAAACTCTTCATTGAGACAAATGAAAATAAAATTACATATACAAGTGCATATAAAAAATATACAAGTGCATATATAAAACTAGCCCAAAAGATGGAGCCCTCCAAAAGAAAAGGCCTCCAATCCAAAATAATAAAACCTAACTGATAATTACAAAACAACTTCGAAACAGACCCCATAAAGAAACGTTATATAGAATGAGATCCCAAATAGACTCCCGACCTCTCTCCACCATTAAAGATTATGTTGTTTCTCTCAATCCATATCTCCCACAAGATAGCGAAGAAATAAGCCTACCACAAAAAACTCCCTTCTGACAAAAAGGAGGGAACAAAAGCACTTCCTCCTGCCCCACAATCCCTATTGTGTACCCAAGCCATCTCAAAAATATCAAAAAGCAGCCCCCAAATATCCCGGGAGAACTAACAATGCCACAAGATGTGATCAAGATCCTATGAAGCATTTTTGCAAAGCAAGCCCCATTGCGGCCCCAAATAGAAAGTAAAACTCCTTTGAATGTGATCCAGGGTATTGACTTTCCCAAGTAAGACCTGCCACACGAAAAACTTTATCTTCTTTGGAATTTTCACTTTCCAAAGCGAGGCAAACAACGGGGCGGGGAGCAGAGGAACACAAAAGCTGAAAGAAAGAACTACAATAGAACCCCTTAGATGGACTAGGGACCAAGCTCGAGAATCCTTCATATCTCGAAAAACAGGAGCATCCTCGAGCAAAAGGAGCAACTCAGCAGCTTTCCGAGACTCTCTATCAGTCAAAGACCACCAAGGCCTAAGGAAATAGACAACCTGCCTCCCTTAATTCGAGCACCGAGGCCATAGAATGTAACCTCCTATCAAATAAAAGATAAAGACGAAGGGAATAAAGAACAAAGAGGTTTACCACCCACCCAATGGTCTTCCTAGGAGTAGGTCTCATTACCATCTCCAACTACACAAGTCAAAAATTGGGAAAAGAAAGGAAAACTAGAGGAAATAACTTTTCAGGTGTTACGAGCACTAACCTTAATTAAGCCCACATTCTAAGACCCAATCACGATACGATAATCCTATGCCAGAATGTACTGAGCTCTTGAAAGAACCGCCACAACCATTTAGCCAATAACGTGTCATTCCTATATCTCAAGTTCCCAATGCCGAGACCCCTCGCCTCCAACGGCTTGGAAACAACGCTCCAATTAACTAAGTGAGCTCCACCTCCTTCGTCCACCGCCTCCCAAAGGAGATCTCTCATAATTTTCTCCAAGCTCTCACTAATTGAAAGTAGGACTTTAAAAAGATAGAGGTAGTACGTTGGAAAAGTGTTAATCTCCCTCCATTAAAGAAAAAAGTCTTTCTCCACARGGAAAGATGCTTTTGGATCTTCTCCATCACAAAAGCCAGAAGGAAAAACTCTTAGGATTATGCCCCAAAGGGAGACCTAGATAGGAAGATGAGGAAGCACTCACTTCACCCCTACCAAGGAGGCCCACTAGAGAAGCTTGGAGAAATCACAATTAATACCCAAAAGCGAACTCTTGCCTCTATTGATCTTCAGCCTAGAGATGGCCTCAAAGAACGACAGAAGGTTGTTCAAATTACTAAAAGAGGCTTCCTTCCCCGAACAGAAAAATAGCGTATCATCAGCCAACTAAAGGTAGAAAAGACTAGTCCTCTCTCTTCCCACAACAAAGCCTTCTAAAACCACTCTTTTCCACACCTGAAGAGGCCAACTTACTCAGATTATCCACCAGAAGGATGAAGAGAAATGGAGACAGAGGATCTCCTCATCTCAAAGCTCTAGGGGCTGAAATCTTTTCCCCTAGGCCTCCCATTTACGAAGATGGAAAAGTTAACCGACCTTATACAGTTCCAAATCCATAATCTCTATTTAGAATTGAAACCTTTCTTCCATAGCACTTTATCCAAAAAGTCTCAACCAACATGATCATACGCTTTCTCGAAGTCCACCTTAAAAATGACAACCTCCTGTTTTCTTTTCCTATAATCTTCAATCTCATTGGCGATGAACACGTGATCCAAAATTTCTCCCAGTAATAAAGGCTCCTAGAGTTTCAAAAATGGTGACAGGAAGGAGTTTTCTAAGTCTATCGGCCATGATTTCGCAATAGTCTTATATAAACTCGTAACTAAGTTGATAGGTTGTAGTCCTTAACCTTAGTAGCATTCTCTTTTTTAGGGATTATGCAGACTTATAGGTTTTATTCATTGAGTCAATAATCTCCTTCTAGAAAAATTCCCGAAAGACTTTCAACAAGTCCTTAATCCACTCCCCAATTGTCCTGGTAAAAAGCCATAGAAAAACCATTACGCCAAAGAGATTTATTTCTGTCAAAGCCAAACATCACATCACCACCTTTCTAATCTCCTCCTAAGTAAAAGAAGCCTCCAAACCTTCTCTGTCTTCCCTCTAGGAGCGGCCTCCAATGGGGCATACAGATTCGAGAAAAACGAAACACCTCCATTTCTAACTCATTCTCTTATTTCAAAACCTCTCCATTCTCATTTAGGGGTGTTCAAGGGTTGGGTTGGGTCGGGTTAGGGGAGTTTTTTGGACCAACCCGAATTTTCGGGTTGGGCAGAATAGAGAACCGAAGGAACCGAACAAGAAGGTCAACCCAACCCAAACCAACCCTTATATTTTCGGGTTGGGTAGGGTTGGGTCGTCGGGTTGAGGCGAGAGAAGGAAGACAGTCGAACGAAAGAGGATTCAGTCAAAATTCTAAACATTTTAAGTTGCAGAAATTGATTGTTCATCGTAGAGAAAACTTTGAACTCTTCTCACTATTCACTATTCCCAGTAGCCATCATCAGAAGAGGATGAAAAGGAGGAAGAGTACGAAGAATGGAGGGAGAAGAAAGGAAGGGAGCCTAGAGAAGGGGTCGACGGATGGAGGGATAAGAGGGGAAGGGAAGACAAGAGAAGGAGAACCGATAGGGAGATGAAAGGAATGGGATGGAGGGAGGAAGACAGAGGGGGAGATGAAAGAAATGGGATGGAGGGAGGAAGACTGAGAGGGAGATGAAAGGAGTGGTGGAGACCAGAGAGGGGGAGGAAGGGAGGCGGCTGGTTAGGGTTACCTAGGTTTAATATATATATATATATGTATGTATATTAAAAAAAATAAAAATAAAGTATTATTGGGTTGGGTCGGGTCAACCCGAAAATTTTGATGCTTAACCCGAGACCCAACCCGACCCGATCGGGTTGGGAATTTTCCAACCCAACCCAACCCACGGTTGGGTTGGGTTCATCGGGTTTTTTGAACACCCATATTCTCATTTACCAACTCGACAATGACATTCTTATTCCTCCTCCAATTAGCCATGTGAAACAACTTTGTATTGCAGTCTCCATCCTTAACCCAGCTCACCTTGGTTTTCTACCTCCAACTCACATCCTCTTTAGGAAGAATCTCTTGAAAGACACCTTTCAGGGACAACCTCTCCTCCCTAAGGTCCAAAGATAAGATGCCCTACGCCTAACACCTGTCTAAGGCCTTCCATCTCTCTAAAATCTCTAATTTCCTCAATCTGATGTCTCCAAAGACAGAGAACATTCCACTCTTTCAACGTGCTCTTAACAGACTTCAATTTTCTCATTACAAGAAAACCTTCTCATCTTCTAGGAACCTCGGAACTCCACCAAAAACACCAAGAAACTTTAAAATAAGGATGAGAAAGCCACATGTTTTCAAACCTAAATGGATATTGACCTACTTAATGAAACCTAAAAGTTTAGGGGTTTGAAGAAAATGAGTAGTTATCTACGAAGCTTTAGCATAAGATAAGATATCTGGAGCTGGATTGAGAGCATAAGAAGAGCGGCTAGCTTTAATGGCTGAAACAGACAGTCCGATAGGGTGATCTGAAATTGTTCTAAAAAATGTTCCCAACCTTTCAGAGCGCATATAGTTAGTAATGTCTTCCTTTGCACCAATTTTACCAGTTTCATCACCTTTGCAAAAACATCCTTGTCATTTTAGTTCTTCCATAATGCTTTGTGTAAAAGTGATGATTTGAAAGGGTTCCGATAGATCCTTCAGAGAATCTTTCAACTATAAACAAAAACCAATTATAAGAACATCCAAAAAGCCCTTGGAACAACCAATCTCTTCAGTACTTCCACTAGATACCTACTCAAGAATAGTTGGACTTACACTCTGAACCACAAGAGTAGAGACCAAAGACTGAGAAGCCATCGATACTCTAGGCTAAAGTAGGAAAACAATCCATGTGGGATGGGCAGGGTTGAAGACAGCCATAAATCTATCTTTGCGTTTTTTAGTAATCTACCCAAATGCTAAAGATGTCAAGTCATAGTAGATGAGAAATCTTTAATAATCATTTTATAAAAAAGCCGATATCTATTACTAGCATAAGACGTAAAGAAGTAAGATGATATGTCACCTAATAAAGGGATGTTTTGGTTCGAAGTCTTGGATAGCACGATTTTGTGTAACACAAGGTTGAAAAGTTTGAATATGCAAGTTTGTACTCTAATTGTGTATAGGAACGTGGTTCAGAAGTTTGGATTTATGTAGTGTATGTTTGGTTTAGGGTTTGTAATTTGTAAAAGTTAGTATGCCGGGATGAAAGATGAATTTCTACAACTTCATTTTCTGTAGCCAGTGAAAATAACAGACCCATCCATTTGAGATAAATCAAACCATATATTAAAGTTCAAACATAGGTTAAATTTCTCAACCTACGACTATACAAATCCAACTTGTGAGCTGAACGCCTACTAAAAGATTAGCAAAAAGCCCTCCGATCGGCTTTGGATCATTAATAGAAGGAATAATACAAAATTCTATCCTATAACGTCAAGAGACAACCAATAAACACAAATCCCTTCCCAAAAATCTGTAGAAGACCCATCCAACCCCTCAAAAGTTACTCTATTACTCTCTTGCTGGAGATACCAAATGAGGCATTGATGTAACTTCTATTTGGTGGGTATTCTTGTAATGTTTTGGTTTTTCATAATTTGAATTTGACTTATCTCATATAGTTCTCAAATATCAGTGAAAAGTTTTGCTTCCTTTTTAAAAGATACAAGTAATTTGAATATGTAATTTCTTATGTTGAAGGGGATGTCTTTTTTCATTCTTTGTAACTTTTCAGTTATGAATGAAAATTTCTATTTCTTTTTTAAAGGGAAAAAAAAATGAAGCTCCTTGCAAATATAGTAAAAAATTAATAGTTAATTACAATTATAGTAATAACTTTTATGATTTGCAAATATAGCAAAAAACGTAAGTTTCGGCCCAAACAGGAAAATGGAATTATACTTATACCCTTAAAATGAGAAAAAAAATCTCACATTGATACACATAATATCAAGTATATCAATGATATACTTCATAGAATCGTATTAGGTATACTAGTTATATTAGTGATATACCTAAAATGAAGTATGTTATTGATAATTTAGTGTGACTGACTGATATACCTAAAATGAAGTATATTATTGATATACTTGATATATTAATAAGGACCATATAATGTTACTGAAATCAAAATCTTCAATCAAAAGAAGATTTATCAATGATACTAACATTAATATGAATTTATACTTCATATTATTCAAAATATATCATTTATAGAACTAATTTACCTAATGACATAATATCAAGTATGTCAGAGATATACTTAAAAACAAAACTATGATTTTAAAATTTTTGTCATATTTGCAAACCCAAAAAATTGTTGGTATATTTGAAAATATGACAAATGTTTTTGCTACCCATTTAAAATACCCAAAAAAAAAAGTCTTGGCTTCCTTTCTAAAAAGTTTACCAATGAAGATTTGGTTTATAGCATGCTTAATATTCTAGGGAATCAAGCCTTAATATTCTAGGGAATCATGCCTTCAGCTCAACATATAGAAGAGATTTTTCCAGCAAGCTATCACATCTCCTCACAAGTCTACGGGCTATAGCCACTCATTCTTTAAATATCGAGAAGAGAAGACATCTATGATTTTCATTTAGAGGAATTTTGATGTTCCCCTCTCAAAGGTTTTGCTAAAAGCCCTTTAATGTCATCTTTCACAATGCCCCGACTCACTTGGAGAAAGGATCACAGTAAAACCCCCTGAACAAAGAGTATCGTCCCTGTCCTTCAAGAAAACCACCTCCACAATAAAAGTTCTCTGATTTTTTTTTTAATGGAAGAAAAAACACAGAACTTAAACGGTGGTATGATCAATCAAGTTCAATGAAATCTCTTCATGGATTTCTGGGGACGATTGGTACAATGAAAACTATGAAATATCGGCCTGTGGCAGTAGTATACTATTAACCTTTAGCAAGAGAAGACAATCAAGAAGATATCTTACTTGGAGTGTCAGTGCGCTTGTATGTTTAGTAACCAAGAAATTCAACAGGTTTGCTGAATAAGCCATGACTGAATTTATTAGAAGAAGAAGCCACATGAATTTATGATCCCTTCCAAGTGATAAAGTAGCATCCCAAACATTTGGTTCCATAATAAGTGCTACAGGTAACAAGGCTAGAACTGCAATTGGGGACATATACAACAGCAAATTCATTGAGTTCAACTTTTCCCTGCCAACATTCAACAGACACCAAGCATATAACTATTTACTTTCTGAAGAAGGAAAGAAAGAAGCAACAGCCAGATGAAAATTGGGAGAATGAACAGAATCTTTATGATACAACATAAGCAACCTCCATTAAGATGGAAGATGTAGACCTTTTGGGACATGAACTTTATTATATTTAGATAGAGAAAATTTTATCCAATCCAATATAGAAACTTGTAGCATTCAAGTGATAATTGTGTGCATACAACATTATTAAAAAAAAATATGCATATAAACTACTCAAGAGGTAACATGATGATGGTCTCCTACATCAATTTCAAATCATTATTTCACATTTTCCTTTCCCTCTTACTTCTGAGTCAATTCCATACAAGCTTTGACTCTTCCACATTAACATGTAAACTACTCGAGAAAAATGAAGTGACATCAACCTAATTTAATTGTGAAATGAGGGAGAGTGATTCTTCAGTCAAATAATTGAATTGTCAGATGATATTTCTAATTTGAAAATTTATTAAAAAGAAAAAAGAAAGGTAGTTTACGGGAATTACAATTACCCTTCAGACGATAATAGGATACCCTGAAGAACAGACTTGAAGGCTCTTGCAGCAGTTGCACTTATGCACATAATAAATCCGAACAAGTGAAATCCTGGCTCACCCTGCCATCAGCCATAGAAAGTCTTGCAATTCCATAGAGGAAATAAAACAAAAATACATTATTATGATACAAGCCTGTTAAAACAATCAATATACGTGCATGAACAGTATTCCTTATACAATATTCTCAAATACGAATTAGTACAGTCAGTGACTACTATAGGCAACACTCCACAAAAAAACCTTGACCTTCTTTGGACAAGGGAATTTCCAAATAGATTTAACAAGGGGGAAAGGAGCTTAGGAGGAACCTCAGTAAGTTTATGGAAAGCAGAATTTGTGGTGAACTTTTTCCCTCCTAAATTGCCCACTCATTTTTGTCCTCTCCATTCCCGAACCGAAAGGAGGCCAGCATCTCCGCCAACTGAATCCAGCTGGGCATCTCATGGTCTCTCAAGCCTCTTCTTAATCCCAAATTCCAATCAGCATGCTCTTCAGACCAGCATTCCGCCACTGTTTTATCTTTTTTGTCAGACATTCTAAATAAGTCTGGGAATTGTGTTGCAAGTGGACATTCCCCCAACCATCTATCTTCCCTAAATTTGATCTTTCTCCCGTTGTTGACTTTGAATGAAATAAATTTCAAAAAGCAGTTCCTGTGCCTGGCAATGTCCCACCCAAGGGCTTCCAGAAGCCTTCCTTCTCGAGGGGGGATGGGGGAGCCAAACACAATTATCATCCCCATAAATGCTGTTGATCACCGGTTTCCATAAGGGGGCTTTTTCTTGGGTAAATTTCCATAACCATTTTTGCAGTAAAGCATCGTTTCTCTGTTGAAAAGCGCCAATCCCAAGGCCCCCATAGATCTTTGGGAGGGAAGCCCTCTCCCAATTTACTAAATGGCATTGAGGATGACAGCCCATGCCATTCCAAAAGAACTAATTATTCTCTCCATTTCGGGCGATGACCTTTAAGGGGCTTTGAAGATGGAGAAGGCATATAATGGGATAATATTCAGGACTGACGAGGCAAGAGGAAGTCCCCCCCCCCAGACAACATAAGATTCTTCCAATTTTAAGTCTTGGCCCTAAACTTGTCCACCGTAGACTCCCAAAAAGAGAACTCTTTTATACTTTCCCCCCAACGGAACCCCCAAGTACATAATTGGGAGGGAATCGGCTTCACAACCAAATTGAGAAGCTTTTCGCAGTAACCTGTTCTTGTCAACGTGGATCCCTATAAGAGACGTCTTCTCCAAATTTAAGGATAGTCCAACACCCAACATAAAAAGGTTTAGGAAAGCCCACCATCTATCCAAATTTTCTTCCTCATCTTGGCAAAAAATCAGAGTATCAACCGCGTACTGTAGGTGAGTTATCACAGTTCCTCTTTTACCAACCACAGCAATTTTCAGAAACCTCTTCTCGCAGCAAAAGTGAATGGCACGGTTAAGTGAATCTCCCACAAGCGTGAAAAGGAAAGGGGAAATAGGATCCCCTTGCCTAAGCCCCTTCTCTGCAAATATTTTCCCTCTTGGTCTTCCATTTATGATTATAGAGAAATTGACCATCGAGAGACACCCCTGCATCCACATCCTCCATCTCTTCCCAAAGCCTTTCCTTTCCAAAACCACATCTAAGTACTCCCAATCAACTTTGTTATAAGCTTTTTCTAGGTCTAGCTTGAGCAAGAAACCTTTCTTTTTCTCTGCTTTCCAATCCCCACCACTTCTGAAGCTACAAGAATTGCATCTATAATGTGACGCCCTCCACAAAGGCTGCCTAAGAATCATCAATGATAAGAGAGAGAACGTTTTTGAGTCTTTCTGCCAACACCTTCGAGATGATTTTGTACAACGATGTGATCAAGCTAATAGGTCTATACTCGTTGGCCTTGTTGGCCTGAAGCTTCTTAGGGATGAGGCATATGTAAATCTCATTTGTTCTCTTGTTGATGATGCCGCTTTGAAAAAATCTTGGAACACTTCTACTAGGTTAGGCTTCAAAATGTTCCAAGTTTTTTTAAAAACTCATTATTCATCACATCCGGACCCGGAGATTTTAAGGACCCAAGACTCTTGATGGCTTCGTAAATTTCAGTCTTGAGTGAAAGGCTCCTCCAACCAAGTACGCCAAGACGTATCGAGGGGGGTTTGATCTGTAAATAAACAATGATTTACTAATAAATGACCAATCTGTTCTTTGAATCTTTTTGGGTCCACTTGGCTCAGAGAAGTTGCTAGTTTATGATGGAGGAGGTCCTTTTCCAACCTTGATTTCGTGATAGGGAATGTGTTCTTTGGCGCTCTGCTATTTCTGTCACCTTACAGCGGATTTGGGAAGAGGATTGGTCTAGTATTAGATTCAATGCTTCCCTTTTAGCATTTGTTACTAAGGATTTCTACAACTGTTCTGCAGGTAACCTTTTTGTATAGCTGAGGCTCCTTTTGCTGGGCTGTTTTTGTTTGCCCCTTCTGTATACCTTCATTTCTCTCAATGAAAGCTAGTTTCTCATTAAAAGAAAAGTAGTAATAAAAATAAATGGCCAATCTGAAAGAGGAAGACATCACAGCTTAAGCCAATCAATCAGTACTGATAATGTTTGAGATTTGGAGTCCCATTCCTTGATAATGTAGAGCATAATATACCAAAATATTGAAATCATTAAATGCAGCAGATTATCTTAATCTTTTCATGCAGCATTCTTCCAGATCTGGCCTGCATTTACGCCACCACCCGAAGTTGATGGACAACTCACCACAATTCGACAAAAATGGTGAAGTTTCTGCTAAATTCTAAGCTCATCCTTAGGAATCTTACAAATTATTTTGAGGATGTGCAATCAAAAGATACACGAAGTAGATAAAAACAAAGAGATGGAAGAGTGATCCAAAGGGGAAAAAGAAATTGGAAACATACCCCGCTAGCGATCACAACCCCAGCAACAACAGGAACAAGAGCAGCATAAGTGATCCAAGCCTCCCTCTTAAGGGTCATCAAATAGGCAAACAGAGCGGTAAAAAACGGAGTCGTTGCACCGACGGCCTGGTTGAAGGAGACGGCGAGGTAGCGGAGGGAGACATTGCCGCCGACCACCGAGCCACAGAAGACGAGGCTGAGAGTCGCAATTTTGAGGAATTGGGACCTCGACTTGAGCATCTGGAGAGGCACAACCTTGAACAGAACAATGGAGAAGTAGCTGAGAATGGCGCACGCCGACATGTGGCACATTGTAAGGAAAATTGGGAATCTGAATCCATAATTGGAGAGCAGAAACTTGTTGAGGAGAAGAACGCCAATATTCGACGAATACCAGAAGATCACAAGAGAAACTACGAAAAGGGTCTGGTTATTGGCGGCCATTTTTACAAAATTTTTTGAAATT